CATTGTGATGTCACATGAAGCGGCTTTACTTTTGCCTAGGGCGGCAAAAATCCTTGCACTGGCCCTGGCTGGAGGGGGCTGTGTGAGCTGTGGCCGCACAGTGTCCCATGGTAGTTAGGGTGCCGTACAGCTCACACAAACAAACAGCTGATAAACTGGCCGCACGGAGGAAATGTGTATGTGTGACTGTCTGCCTGTGACTGTGTGTGACTGTCTGCCTGTAACTGAGTGTGTGACTGTCTGTCTGTAACTGAGTGTGTGACTGTCTGCCTGTAAATGTGTGTGGGGCTGCAGGGATTTTGTAGAAGGGGGCGGGGGTTTTGTATTGGGACAGGAGTCTTTATAAGGGGGGATAAGCAGGGGATTTGTGGAAGGGGGTTGCGGGGGTTTTGTAGGCGGGGCAGTACAGGATTTGTAGAAGGGGCAGGACAGAGGTTTTGTAGGAGGGGCGGGGCAGGGCAAGGGTTTTGTAGGAGGGCTGACAGCGGTTTTGCAAAGTTTACAAATTGTAAAAAAAAGGGGTGCCAAGCACAGGATCCGCCCCGGGTGCCAAATGCTCTAGGTACGCCCCTGCGCTGGGCCTATGTGCAATTTCCAAGCATCTTAGCAGGGTTTAAATTCATACTACCCCACAAAGTAGACGCCCCAGGGTATTTCAAAAGGTATATTTTGGACCTTAACGTGGGATCATTTTTCCACTAGCTTGTACCAAGTGTAGTGGTAATAAGCGTTTTTTCTGCCTTTTTGACACACAAAGTGAGTTTGCGCAGTATATTTTGTAAACCGTATGTGTGCTACGACTGTATAATACTTCATATGAACCAGGAAGTGCAGGGAGGCGGAAGGTAAGTATACTAAGCACATGTGCTCGCTCTGACATGCTGTCAGAGCGAGCACATGTGCTGGGGCAGCACTATTGGATACCTAATACAGAGGCAGACCGGAGCACCATTAACCCCGTGATTTCCGCGATAGCGGTGGTCCGTCACTTGTCGTTATGGCAATCCCCTGAGTGACGGACCTTGTCTCGCACTCATCGTTAAGGGGTTAAGTGCTCAACTCCCACTTGCCCAAACCAAAAATAGTTGCTAAATCCCGCTATACCACTTTCATATATGCCAAAATCTAAAGACGTACCCAGCGGTGGTGCCTAAGTGTTTCTTTCCTATGGAAGACTCCCTCTCCACCCAGACCTGTTTATAATTATGGCCATAGGAACAAAATAATGCTGCCAATCTGAGGCAGACAAACCTCTAGATGCTACCTTGAAAGACCTTTTCAACATGATCCTGGGCAATGAGGATCAGGAGGAGATTCTCCTAGACAGGGGTCACTGAGCTCTATGACCTCCTTGATTCAATTGAGTGCCAAGGGGCATGATTTGTTCATCCATTCATATTGGTTGAAAGAATGCATTATGTCCAGGGCCAGAGAACACCAATTATGAAAATTCTACCATCAGTATATATCAGAACCTACCAACCCTTGCCCTGGATGCTATATGGGCCCTCAGCCATATCACCACTTTGCTGCGAGAACAGCATATTGTCTACCCCTTCAACTTGCATACTAGACAGAGAGAAGACATGGGTAGATATCAAGATCCCATGTACTTTAGACTATTCAGTGTAGTCTAAAGCACAAGGTGTATCGTATTGTAGAGTATAGCAGTATAGAGTTTCGCAGTATATCGAGTGAAACATAGTATAGTAGTATAGAATATCGCAGTATGTTGCGGAGTATGGTAGAAAAGAGTATATCTAATGTTGCAAATTATAGTCGTATAGGGTATCACAGTATGGAGATAGCTGCAGAGTATAGTAGAGTATTGCAGTATGCAGAATGTTGCAGAATATGGTAGTTTAGATTGTAGCCCATGGAACAGCACAGTTAGGAGAATGGGCCTTGACGGGGTATTTATTTCCAACAGAAAAGCTGGTATCTGTGTCTTATTAAAGGGAGTTTGGTGTGGGTTATGGCACATGCCGAATAACGACTGTGCGCATGTCAAGAGTATTGCAGTATACATAATATTGCAGAATGTAGTTGTAGAAGTATCACAGTATGCAGAATGTCACCGAGTATAGTAGTGTAGATTTTCGCAGTAGGCAGTATGTTGTAGCTTAAAGTAGTATGGAGTATCAAAGCATGCATCAAGTAGCAGAGTACAGTAGTATAGACTTATATATATTGATGTATATGTAGTATGATGCAGATTATAGTAGTATAGAGTATCAGTACACAGAACGTAGCAGATTATAGATGTATATAGTATTGTTAAATGCTGTATTTTGCACAGTATGTTGATTGTTAAAGAGGATAGTAGTACAGCGTATTGCAGTATGCAGATTGTTGTAGTGTACAGCAGTGTAAAGTATCGCAGTATGCAGACTGTTGCAGAGTATGGAAGCGTAGAGGGTCGCAGTAAGCAAATTGTCTCAGATTATAGTAGCGTAGAGTCTTGCAATGCAGCACAATATAGTGAAATAGAGTGTTGTAGTATGCATTAAGTTGTAGAGTATAGTAGTATAGTGTATCGCAGGATGGAGCATGTAGCAGAGTATATTATTATTATAGATTATCGCAGCACGCAGTATGATGCAGAGTATAGTAATATAGAGTATCACAGGATGCAGTATAATTCAGAGTGTACTAGTAGAGTAGCGCAGGATGCAGTATAATTCATAGTATAGTAGTATAGAGTAGTGCAGAATGGAGTATGATGTAGAGTATAATAGTATAGAGTATCACAGTATTCAATATGACGCAGAGTATAGTAGGATAAAGTTTCACAGGATGCAGTATGTGGCACAGTAGAGTAATATAGAGTATCGTACAATTCGGTATATTGCAGAGTATAGTAGAATAGAGTATTGTAGGATTCAGTATGTTGCAGAATATAGTGGAAAAGAGTATCATAGGTTTCAGTATGTTGCAAAGTATAGTAGAATAGAGTATCGCATGAAGAAAAATATTGGTGAGAATAGTATTATAGATCCAATGAAGGAGAATATAGCCAAGTACAGTATTATAGATTATCGCATGAAGAAGAATGTTGCAGTTTCTCTCTAAGAAAGAAGACCTTATCAAGCAGAAATACGAGAGAATCCTTCAGGACTGCTGACATATCACTCTAAGCCACACTACTAACTACAATATAATTCAATTTCCACAGTAACTAATTTATTACAGCTTACATATTTAACATAATATCACATACAATACTGCAGGCCAAACGTGAGGGGCCGAATGAGGAACCGAATGCGGCCCATATGTCCCCAAGTTCAAATGACATGATGCTGGAACGGCTGTGTGTCCACATGTGGAAGAGACCACAGCATGGAAAGACTGTGCTGAACCTTATGCAAATAATACTAGCCAAGGTGGTGGTAACATTTAGAAATACTGCCATAAACCAACAGTAATTTTAGAAATACAAGTGAAAATAAAGCGTATCGGAATGTGGGTAAAGGCCCTGATGGTCTACTGAACTCACAAATGAGTCGTCACCAGAACAAGGGGAGAACCTATGATCAGGGAACTCTGAAAGGCTCTATCATGAAGGGGCACAGAGTTAAGAACAGGGCTTGGCGGGAAAGCAAACTTCTGTACTGGAAGCACCAGAGTGTTGGGAAGCCACATGTACTGGGCAAAGATGTATCGGCGTGCATAGGGCAAGAAATATTCAGCCTTCAGCATGTGAGGTGAAGCAACAGCCATGAACGACTGGACTTCGACAGTACTCTGCAAAATAGCAGAAAAAGCGTGGGGAACTAAAGTAGTGAGACAGGGCCAATGCAATGGTAAAGTCGAGTCCCATGGTGAAGGGCTCCAGGGAGTACGAGTGCACATTGAGGTGACCATAAGGAAGCATGGAAAAACTCTGGAAGAATTTTAAGAGTCCTTAAAGCAAGTATTGCACTTAGCATGTTAAAATTAGTGTAGGACCCACCGTTATTTGGGGAACATTTGTTTGTTAAGATAAGCGATTTAGTTCCAAAGTAGCTTTTGAAATTTTTAAACTGTATTTTGTGAGTGTGTGTGCTGTTCCTTTATATGTATTTAGCAATTTGATTGCATAAATGAGAAAACGGTTCTAAATGACCACCTAAGAAAATTTAATTTGCACTGCATTAATTATGTAGGGTGAAATAATTTCAAAGCTCAGTATCTGTGTCCTTTAAAATAACAAATGTCTGAAGAGTCTTATATGCACTGTGTGTTCAGAAGAAATTACTACATGTGTAACATTTCTAATCAGGAATACATTGTGAAATAAGTGTCTTTAAACTTTTCAGATATCTTTATTTAATACTTTACAATACTGCTCTGCACCAGAGAAGCATGAGAACACAATTCTAATTGAAGGAGAGATGATATATCGAGAAAAAGCAAATGGGCTTCAAAGCAAAATTGATGACGTTTTCAACAAAATCGCAAAGCTAATTCCCAACGTCAACGTTACTTCTTTCAAAAGTTGCACAAATGGGATAACCAGTAAAGCTTCCATTATAAATCCCAGATCACAGTATTGCATTGGTGAAAATCTTGTGATTCAATGCAACATGTATGACTACTTAGGCAATAGTAAGACATATGGAGGGGACTTCCTAAGGTCAAGACTCTATTCTAAAGAGCTCGGTGCTTCTGTGTCTGGAAGAATAGAAGACTTTAACAATGGGACTTACCATATCCACTTTCCCTTATATTGGAAGGGAAAGGTCCAGGTTTCTGCTATGCTGTTCCATCCAAGTGAAGGAATTGCTGCACTCTGGCGATCTAGGCATTCCAGTTCAGGGGTTCTTGAATATGAAGGCAGATTTGTAAATTTTACTCAAGATGAAATAACAGCATGTGGCTTCAAACTTAATACAGACAAGGAGTTGTGTGAATACTTGGATCAAGATGATGAAGAAGCTTTCTACTGCATCAAACCTTCCAACCTGTCATGTGAATCATTAAATGAGATGAGATCAATTGTTATTCGTAAATCACATCTCACAAAAGAGGAAACAGAACTGTTTAAAAGGTACAATTTATGTTTCATTTTTGCTTTACTGATTTATTTATTAGACTCGAAGGCTCATATTATGCTTCTCACCCACAGCAACAAAGTATGTATAAATCATTTCCAACAACGTGCTGAAAGAAAAAATATCATAGCATATTAGCCATAATATTAATTCTGCTTTAAGTAGTTAAATCTTCAATTCAATCTAATTTTCTTTCCTGCTCTTCTGTCAGATTGCTATGTGGAACAGGGCAACCTCTGTGTTCCATCAGCATTATTGTGTATTATGTTGCTCAGTATTTATTGTCTGCTCTTTTATTTTGCATTCTTCCCTTAATTGCCCTCTCTCACTTCAATATCTGCATCTCTCTCCATCCATAATTGTTTTTTTTTCATCTAAACCCAGACTTTCCATTTCAGTCTGAGCCCCAACAAACATACTTAGAAGTTGCTCCCAAGGACTCACAGCCAGCACATCTTTCCCACCCTCCCCATGGTACTCACTACATTTATAGATAGTTCAAACCACCTGGTTTTCCACACACACCAATCATGCCTACCATCTTCTCCTCCTGTAATACCTCCATTTCCACACCACAGACAAGTTAACCCTTCACTCCTCCATGCTCTCCTATGGACCTAGTGATTTAGATCAAAGCAAACTTTGATTATTTGTCTATCTACTCCTTCCAAATTGATTAATGTGTGCACGCTCTTCCTAGAAGTAATTCACACCGGAGACAAAGTTTCTGATTAGTGAAAAACCTGAGGAATCCTTTATTCCCCGGAGTGGGAGCTCCTTTTAAAGCAGAAATACATCATGTACAGAGTCACAGTTAACATACAGTATTCATTCAACAATTGGTTAACAGTCTAAGGGGTCTTGTCTGAACCCCCCCTACCGGATGTAATGTCGTCATTACAGAGTTCTCCCACCCATATTCCAGCTCCATCTTGGTTACACTATGGGAGGGGGAGTGAGTAGTAGTTACTGAACTGAGAGGGGCTGAAGAGGAAACAGTTACTTTAACAGCGATGTATGAAATGTCGTAGGATGGCGCTGCAGCCCCGCTGCAAGCATGCAACTCACGGAGGGGGCGCCTTCAACCGTGGCACACTAAGTCAACGCGCTACCTGCAGAGATGCTCCCGTTCAGCTAAATGCTGCTGGAGGAAGTCCCGCACCTTGTCAGACTTCCTCCATTATAAATTCATATAGCACAGCCCTCACCCTTGCTAAATAATCCTACTTTTAATCTCTTGTTAGTTCATGCTCACGCAATCCCAGGCATCTCTTTAATACCTTCAACTTTCTCCTTCGCCCACCGCAAGACACCCTTCAAACTAACCTTTCAGCAGATAGCCTTGCATGCTAGTTTACCAACAAGATTGAACAACAAAGGAAAGAATTCTTCCTCCTTTGCACCTCCCTTTTGCAACCACCATCGACCGGACCTTCCCTACCCTACAGACCTTCTCCCCAGCTATAGAACAGGAGGTGGCTTTGCTTCTCCTCTTCTCTCATCCCACCACCTGTCCGCTTGATCCAGTACCATCCCACCTTATCAGATCTCTCTCCCCTTGTCTTGTACCATCTTTAACACACATCCTAAACTGCTCTCTTTCATCTGGTGTTGTCCCTGCTTCCTTTAAGCATGCTATTGTCGTACCCATCCTAAAAAAGCCATCTTCCCCTTCCATCTATCATCCTTCCTGCTTCCTTTTTCCTCAAAACCTCTAGAAAGACTTGTCTTTACTCGTATGACTCACTTCCTAAATTCCAACTCCCTCCTCGATCCTCTTCAATCTGCCTTTCGCCCCCTCCACTCCGAGACTGCTCTTATTAAAGTTACAAATGACCTAATCACAGCTAAATCCAAAGGCCACTATTCCATACTAATTCGTGTTGACCTCTCTGCTGCCTTTGACACTGTTGATCATGGCTTCCTTCTCCTAACTCTTCAATCTCTTGGTCTCTGTGACACAGCCCTCTCATGGTTCTCCTCCTATCTCTCCCAATGCTCCTTCAGTGTCTCTTTTTCCAACACCTCCTCCTCTCCTCATCCTGTCTCAATCGGAGGCCCTCAAGGTTCAGTTCTTGGTCTCCTTTTGTTCTCTTTCTATACTGCCTCTCTTGGAAAACTCATTAATTAATTAATTTAGATTCTACTACAACTTGTACACTGATGAAACCCAGATATATCTCTCCTCCTATGACCTCTCCCCTGCTGTCCTACAACATGTCCCCAATTGCCTCTCTTCTCTCTCTGATTGGATGTCCTACAGCATTCTGAAACTCAATCTCTGTAAGCCTACTCATAACACTGATCCTTCTCCTTCACTCTCCTTGCAGGTTTACAGAACCTGTCTCACCCCATCCTTTCAAGCTCGCTGTCTTGGTGTAATTTTTGATCCTGGCCTCACCTTTGTGCCTCATGTCCAGTCTGTTGCTAAAACCTGGTGACTCCAGCTCCCATTGGATTACTGTAATCCCTTCCTAATTGGTCTGCCCAGAAGCCGTTCTTTCCCCCTACAATCTGTGATGAATGCTGCTGCCAGGCTGATCTTTTTCTCTTGTCGCTCCTCTCACACCTCACCCCTCTGTCAATACTTACACTAGCTTCCTGTATCCTACAGGTTTCAATAAAAAATACTAACCCTTACCTGTAAACCCATAACCAACTCTAGTCCCTCTTACATTTCTTCACTGATTCATAGGTATGCCCCCTCTCGGTCTCTCCACTCTACTGGTGACCTTCTCCTGTCTGCTGCTCGCACACTTACTGCAAATTCATGCCTGTAAGACTTCCCACAGGCTGCTCCTTTTCCTTGGGAACAGCCTGCCTACCCCTGTCAGACTCTCCGCTAGTCCTCAATCCTTTAAGAAGTCCCTCAAAACCCATCTTTTCAGGAATGCTTATGGCATCCAAGAGTAACTTCTATCTCATAAAACCTTCCTCTTGCTCTCTTCTAAAGGGCCACACTCCACTCCCACCTCCAGTTCTGACTTTCCCACCATGTCTATTTGCTGTCTCCCTCAATACCCTTCCTATTGTGTTTTTATACCCCACCTCCTCTAGATTGTAAGCTCGTTTGAGCAGGGTCCTCAACTACCCATTGTTCCTGTTACATTTTGTTATCGTCTCATTTGGTAAATTCCCCTTTTATTGTAAAGCGCTGCGGAATAAGCTGGCTCTATATAAATAATAACCAATAATAATAATAATATTACTATTAATATTTTTTTTAATATCTTTTTTTTTTTTTATGGTACTTTTGCTTTTTATATGCTGCCTTCAAGCCATGGATTCCTCTTTGTGTTTTCCCCTCATTCCCCAAGTCGGCCTTCATCACCCCATTCGGCCTGTACCAATTTAAGGTAATGCCATTTGGGATGAAGAATGCCCCAGCCACCTTCCAAAGGATGGTGGACCGACTGCTAGATGGCCTCTAGGAGTATGCCTGTACATATGCAACCATATACAACGACATCTGGGAGCACCCCGACCTGATGCCAAAACCGCAAGGGAAGCCATGGCGCATGCCTTTCCCTTGGTGGCCACCCATTCGAAAAGATGAACGCCATCCAAGGGGCGCATTCGCGGATCGCTTCCCACCCCGTTCATTTTCCGAACGGAGACCTCCATAGTGACCCATTAGAATGTTCACACCAATCAGTTAAAACATTTGCACTTGCAACATAAGTGTGAAATCGCCAGGGAAGTAATTTTAATGAATGCTACTCTGTGTGTCTGCCATTTCGTATAGGTGAATGGCACGCAGGGGGAGCTTTCGTATCCCGAAAGATGCTTCCCTTGCCTGGTTTCACACAGGGTCCCTGCAAACAGAGGCTGTTCGAGGCAGGCACTGTTATGGGGATCCCTGGGATTGGTGTGGGCATCCTTTGTTGACAATGGCTGGTTTGGCAGGCTTTCTGTAACTGTGAGTCAAGGAGGCAGATGTTTTCCCAGGACTCTCAGGTATAGAGGATATTGGGAAGAAGACCCCCTGTCACCGGAAATGAGAGACCCTACATTTGGGTGGCGGAAACAGGGGAAAAAGGGATTCCTGGGAAGAAGACCCCCCTGTCATCAGAAGTGGGAAACCTGTGCTTGGGTGGCAGGACAGGGGACAAAAGGACTGGGACTCACACAGCAGACGCCTGGGAGGGGGAGGACCCTGGGATTGTGTGGTATACACCCCTTGTATGGGGTTTTGTATAAAAGCAGTGTGTGGCCAAAAGGTGAGGGCAGGCAGCTTCAGGCCTGGGGGGGGGGGGGACAAATCCAGTCAACTGGCCTATTGCACCATCAGCTCACCATCCATGCCCACCTTTTCTTGGTTTTATAATGGATATTGATGTTATGCTAGTCAGTAGCCCTTTGCAATACCCACTCCTTCGCGGCTCCGACTTTCAGTGTTGTCAGAACGCAGGCTGAGAATCTCAGAGCCTGTGCGCTGAGTCACTAATTGAGCACCAGAACCACGAGGGAGAGGATATGATCTGACTGCACTTACTGCTGGCCCGTACCAGTGGACCACCAGGGAATCGTTTAAATTGAATATGCTGGTGTCCCCAACTTGTGAGCTGTGTTGGCCGCCAGGCGCCTCTGTTGTCACGGCGCCCTGCATGACCGCACAGCTTGCACAGCCCAAAGGCTGGCTCTGCTGACAGACACACTGGCACTCACTCTCAATAACACACACACACACTCACTGACAGGCAGACACACACATTCACTGACAGACAACCAGTTGACAGACACACTCGCTGACACACACTCACACACTGACAGACACACAAACACTGACAGATACACACTCAGTGACACACTTATTAATAAACACATACACACACACTTACTGACAGAGACACACACACACACACACTGACAGACACACACTCACTGACAGACACCAGTGCCATCTTAACAACATTATTGGCCCCCGGGCAAAGCAATGCACTGGGGCCCTGCCTACATAACTCACAGGAATAAAAACATAAATTATAGATGCAATTAAGTTTATATTTATTAGTACCTACTACCTCCAACAAATGCAATACATACATACAATACATACACAGACTGGTGAATACAGTCACAGACTGCTGAATACATACATGCAACGACTGCCGAATACACACAGACAGACTGCTGAGTACACACAGAGAGTGCTGAATACAAACACACACACACAAACTGATAAATACATACACACAGACTGCTGAATGCATACACACAGTTCGCTGAATACACACACACACAGACTACTGAATACACACACAGACTGCTGAATACATGCAGAGTTTGAGGGGTGCAGGTAGCAAATGTTTTTTGTTTTTTTAATACTACTATACATTAAATAAAATCTCTATATCCCCCCCACACACTCACTGACAGACACACACACTTACTGACAGACAGACACACATTCACAAATTAATTTTATTGCTTGTTGATCCTACCTTGAGTCCTCTGGGTCCTCTCCCCGGGGTCCAGTGGCTTTCATGATTATCCTGCTCCTCTCTGCTCCCTCGCACTGTATAGGGATGTGTGGCCGGAATTGTCATATTCCGGCTCCCGGCATCATTAGAGAGGGCACGCGAGGGAGCAGGAAGATCATCAGCACAGCCAGCGCTCCCTCGCCGCCTGCCGATATATTGCTGCAGAGTAGGCACCTGCCATCTTAGCTCTTTCGGCCGCACTGTTAGTCTGAGGATAATAGGACGAGGAAAATGATAACTCTATACCCAATTGCTTGCTGAAAGCCCTTCAAAATTAGACACAAATTGAGAACCCCTGTCAGACACTATATTCAGTGTAACCATGTAACTTGAATTTCTCCTTTATGAATATGTGTACGAGTTCTAGGGCAGTAGGTAGCTTCTTGAATGGAATTAAATGCACCATCTTAGTGAAATGGTCTATGACCATTAGGATAGTGTTAAAACCTTTAGAGACTGGAAGATCAACAATAAAGTCCATAGCTAGATGAGACCATGGAATGTGAGGTATAGAAAATGGTTGTGGCAAACCACCTTGCTGTCTATGTGGAACTTTGGAAACAGCGCAAGTCGTGCAAGCTGTAACATATTCTCTTATATCCCTTTTAAGAGAAGGCCACTGAAACATTCTGGTGACAGCAAATATCGTTTTGCTGATAACAAGATGCTCTTCTGTTACATTATCATGAAACACCCTTTAATATTTCCTTTCTTTCCTTTACTGGTATGTACAATTTACCATGTGGATTGCCGCTAGGAGCCTGTGTCTGAGCTGTCACAATAACACTAAGGAGAGGTGAAGATAACATAAGAACAGTAGCGGCAATAATGTATTCGGTGGAATAATAGGGGGCATCTCTTGCTCCTGTTCCTCCTCAGAATCATATTGCCAAGATAGGGTGTCAGCTTTCACGTTTCTTGTGCCTGGTCTGTATGTAATCACGTAATTAAAATGTGACAAGAACAGAGACCATCTGGCTTGTCTTTAAGACAACCTCTTGGCCTCTCTTATGTAAGTCAGATTCCTGTGATCAGTGATAATCAAAAGTAGATCTTTAGAACCCTCCAAAACATGTCGCCATTCCTTTAAGGCCAGGTTAATAGCTAAAGGTTCTCTGTTGCCAATATGATAATTCCATTTGCTGGCAACAGCTTTCTGGAGAAAAACTCACAAGGGTGCAAAGGGGTGTACTGTTTTTCCCTCTGAGAAAGATAATCACCTACTCCAGTTTCAGAGGCATCAACCTCTAGAATAAAAGCATCAGGGTACACAAATATGAGAGCAGAAGCAAACAAGGTCTTGAGAGTATCAAATGCTTCTTTTGCTTCCTGTGACCATATGTGACAGTTTACACAGTGTTAAGTTGTAATAGTTTTAGGTTAGTTATGGAGGCTATAACTATAGAGAACCCCTTTTATGAACCTACGATAATAATTATAAAAAAAAGGCAGAATATGAAACCAGAAACTTAATGAAACCAGAAGCTGAAATCACATTAACCAGGAACTGAACCTATGTCTGATCAAAGAGGCACTTTTCAAGTTTACAGTATAACCCATGTTTTAGTAAAGTTTGTGAAACTTGTTTTACATTCCTATGGGGAGTATAGCAAGCAGGAGAATATATGAGTATATCGTCAAAGTACACCAACACAAAATGTTGTTTATAAGATACTGAAACACAGCTGTAGCATAACATAAGCCAAAGGGCACGACACCTTGGAGTCTGTCAAATAATTTGGATATGAGTGGTATAGGATAGGCATTCTTTGTTGTGATTTTGTTTAAAGCCCTATAATAAATACATGGTTACAGATCTCCATCTTTCTTGGATACAAAAAAGAAACCAGCACCGACTGGAGAAAATCTGGCTATGTGTAGCGGAGCTCTCTGTACCCTGGCTGGGTACCTCCGCCAAGGACCACTTCCCAGCTGGAACCAGGGAAAACATCAGCGCTTCTGCTCCAGTCGCCATGGCTTGACTGGGGTCCTCCTAGAGCCTCTCCGTTCTGGAACAGAATAGGGGACTAGCTCTATTCCCTACCAGGGACTGGACGACACACAGCCCTGGGAGCTCTAGTCCTTACAAGGACTTTCCCCGCTGAATCCTTCACAAGCTGGAACAAGATTCTGAGCAGTGATTAGCCCCTTCCCCTTCCAGTAACTAGATGACACATAGTTCTGAGAGAACAACTGATTTTAATGAGCCAAACTAATCCTTTTATGCACAGACCCCAGCAGGGGGTCTCTATTGTATTCAACAAAAGCCCCTCCCAGGAATCTCTGGGCCTGGGAGATAATTACATTAAAGACTGGTAAGCTAATTATCTCCCATGAACAGAGAGGCAAACACAAAAACATAAAAAATACCCCATATCATCATAAAAACATACAATAACCCCACAAATAGTACATCCCAAGTTCTCCAAAAAGAGTTTAGATCCATGCAGTGTAGGGGAAATGCCACCATGTTAAAGTTCTGACCGGGTGCTAACGTGGGCCTATGCCCAAAATAGTTCCAGGGCGTTTGGTGCTTTTGCCGGTCAACTTTTGGGAGCTCCTGCGTCTGAAATGCAGGGTGCTCCTTCTGGCTCTCAGGTAGCATTTGTTCCCCTTAGCATTCTCTCCAAAAAGCACTCTCCTGGCAGGTTGCAGTGGTTCAAAACCCCGGACCAAGTTGTCCGGGAACCGCACGGTCACCTCATGCTGAAAATAGTTCCATAACATTCGCGGCTAAGTGCTGCTGAAGTAACCGAGAACCCATGAAGTCCTCATGCCAAAATTTATTCCAGTACGGCCGCTGCTAAGTACCGCTGAGGACCATTCGAGGGTTTGGTTCATGTGAATGGCCACCAGGGAGCTAGCGTTCGGTTCCATTCGAACCAGGAGCACCGAGGGAAAGCTGCTAATGGCAGCTGGGAAGGTTCACTTCTGAACAGGCCAGCTCCAGTAGTCCATGGCAAACGTTCATGGGAAGGAGCATTTGGACAAGCTATTCTCAAATTACCCTTTACCTGCGTGTGCATCGACAGTGTGACGTCACACGCACACACCGCCATCTTTAATGTGGGCACTGTGTAACTTAGTAGTAAGTAGAAACGGATTACTGTGAAAAATCAAGCCAGGATGATCGGTCTCCTGTCTGCTTCCATCCAAGAGATTTGTCCATGCCCTCTTTATTATTATGCTCTAGAGTGATTAAAGACAACATACCTCCTATGTGGTTTCTCCTACACATATCTTGTTACCCAGGATTGTAATGCCAAAGAAGTAAAATACAGTTGGTGCTAGCATACTGATGTGCAGAATGGCTTTGTGATAAACAGAACAGTAATGAACCTTGCCATCATGTCCAATGCAAGCACATATGGTCTTGGAGGGCTTTGTAGAAATCTTTCTACTGGAGCCAATTGGACCCAGCAGAGTCTTCCCCCAATACTATTTGCAAGGATTGCCTGAAATATTTTGATCAATGCATTTTTACAAAACTGGTCAGGTTCATGACATTATGCTTTTTTACAAAACTGGTCAGGTTCATGACATTATGCTTTCTCTGTATTTCTCCTGAACATATGTTACCAATCAGGGATGGTGTTCTTGGTGACCCCATTCTGGACCTCACAACAGTCAAACTCCTCCTCCACTGTTGATCTCCATTAACTTCCATAGACGGTTGCCAACATTTCTGATCCATCTTGCAGACCCAAAAGTTACAGAAGCTTGGTGCTTTTATCAAAGTACTTGGGAAGCATGGACTGGTTGATACTTGGAATGAAAATTGGAACCAGTATTGGCTGCTGTGGCCACTATCCTTCATTTTCTGATGTTCATAGTTCATAGTTCATAGTTACATAGCTGAAAAGAGACTTGCGTCCATCAAGTTCAGACTACCTAACATTTGTTTTTTGCTGTTGATCCAAAAGAAGGCAAAAAAAAAAAAAAACAGTTTGAAGCACAATTTTGCAACAAGCTAGGAAAAAAATTCCTTCCTGACCCCAGAATGGCAGTCAGATTTATCCTTGGATCAAGCAGTTATTACCCTACATTGAAAGATTATATCCTTGAATATTCTGTTCTTGCAAGTATGCATCTAGTAGCCATTTGAACATCTGTATGGACTCTGATAAAACCACTTCCTCAGGCAGAGAATTCCACATCCTGATTGTTCTTACAGTAAAAAAACCTTTCCTTTGCCTTAGACGAAATCTTCTTTCTTCCAGTCTAAACGCATGGCCTCGTGTCCTATGTAAAGTCCGGTTTGTGAATAGATTTCCACACAATAGTTTGTATTGGCTCCGAATATATTTGTATAATGTTATCATATCCCCTCTCAGGCGACGTTTTTCTAAACTAAATAGGTTTAAATTTGTTAACCTTTCTTCATAGCCGATATGTTCCATTCCTTTTATTAATTTTGTAGCCCGCCTCTGCACTTTTTCTAGTGCCATAATATCCTTCTTTAGAACAGGTGCCCAAAATTGCACAGCATATTCAATATGAGGTCTTACCAGTGATTTATAAAGAGGCAAAATTATATTCTTGTCCGAGAATGAATGCCCTTTTTCATGCATGACAATACCTTACTGGCCTTGGCCACTGCTGATTGACATTGCACATTGTTGCATAGTTTGTTGTCTATAACAATTCCCAAGTCCTTTTCATGTGTTGTTATCCCTAATTCGCTTCCATTAAGGGTATACGTTGCTTGTGTATTCTTTACGCCGAAGTGCATAACTTTGCATTTTTCAACATTAAATTTCATCTGCCATTTGAGTGCCCAGTCCCCCAGTCTATCTAAATCCCTCTGCAGCAAAGTAATATCTTGCTCACATTGTATTGTTTTACAAAGTTTGGTGTCATCTGCAAACACTGATACATGACTTTCAATGCAGTCTTCAAGATCATTTATAAACATGTTAAATAGAAGGGGTCCCAGAACAGACCCCTGAGGGACACCACTTGCCACCTCTGTCCATCTTGAAAATTTACCATTAATGACAACTCTTTGTACTCTGTTTTTAAGCCAATGTTCTACCCAAGAACAAGCATTTTCATCTAGACCGATTTCCTTGAGTTTGAACACTAATCTATTGTGTGGAACTGTATCAAATGCCTTGGCAAAATCCAAATAGATCACATCCACGGCAACACCCTGATCTATACTTCTACTTACTTCTTCGTAGAACGCAATCAAGTTAGTTTGACATGACCTGTGCTTCATAAAACCATGCTGATTTTTGCTGATAACCATGTTCTTCTCAAGGAATTCTTGAATATTATCCCTTAATAACCTTTCAAATATTTTACCAGCCACAGAAGTTAAGCTCACAGGTCTATAATTTCCAGGCAAGGATTTTGAACCCTTTTTGAATATAGGAACTACATCTGCCTTCCTCCAATCCTCCGGAACACTTCCTGAAAGAAAAGAATCTTGAAAGATTAAAAACAGAGGTTCACTTATTTCTGCACTTAGTTCTTTAAGTACACGTGGATGGATACCGTCAGGCCCTGGAGCTTTGTTTATATTAACTTTCTTTAGTTGCTGCAGCACCTTGTCTTGAGTTAACCAATTACAATTATTCTGCAAGTATTTAGTAGCAATCATTTGCACATCTATTGCCATGGGTTTTTTCTTAATATATAACGAGGAGAAATAGTTATTTAAAATTCCTGCCTTTTCCTGGTCTTCATTAACTAACACCCCAGTTTCAGTTTTTAGTGTACCTACACTTTAATTTAGTTTTTTTTTAGAATTTATGTACTTAAAAATGCCTTGGGGTTGGTTTTACCAATTTGACCAAGGACATGTGTACCACATGGTCAATGTTCATCAATCTGCTCTTTGACTGGTATTCCACTCCATGAGCGATGACATGATGTCTAAGGCTCTTGTTGTTGGATGTTGACTGGAGAAGCTATTAATATGGCTGAACTTGTGAAACCACCTTGTGCGGTTTTTCTTTCATAATTAATAAAATAAAATTTACAAGGAAAGGTAAAGGATCTTTAACATGTATAACGTGGAGGAAAGACAAGACAGCGGGGATATGATAGAAACATTTAAATACATAAGGGGAATCAACACAGTAAAGTAGGAGACTTTATTTAAAAAAAGTAAAAACTAACACCACAAGAGGACATAGTTTTAAAATAATATCAGGAAGTATTACTTTACTGACAGGGTAGTGGATGCATGGAATAGCCTTCCAGCTGAAGTGGTAAAGGTTAAGGAAGGAGTTTAAGCATGTGTGGCATAGGCATAAGGCCATCCTAGCTATAAGATAAGGCCAGGGACGAATTAAAATATTTAGAAAATTGGGCAGACTAGATGATTCTTTTCTGCCATCACATTGTTCTCATGGTTCTTTTTTGCCGTCACATGTTAATATTTCCAATCATGTTATTGCTAGCTATCTGTATGGGCAAAATATTTGGTTCGGTTCAGCACTTCTGAAATTCGGGACATTGCAATTTGGAAATTCGTCAATTCGAGACTTCAGCACTTCAGTCATTTGTAAGCATCCCTCTCTTGCCACCACAACCACTTACACATCTGTAGGGCTCCCTAACCTTAATGCTTTTCTCTATGTGTGTACTTGCAAAGCAGTGTTGACTTGCAATGCCTTAACACAATGAGCTAGATATTATAAATGTGTCCTTTTTCTTTTAGTGTGAGTTTTCTGCAGTTTTATTATTACATTTCAAGGCTATTACTGTCTCCTTGTTTTATATTTTACTAAATGCTACTATACTCTTCTGATTACTTACTGATGCAAAATAAGAGGAGGTAGATTTGAAGACTTGACTACTTAAAGCAACAATCCATTAAAAAAAAAAAACTAATTGGAAAATCGGAAGTAGTTGTTTTAGGAGCTATAGCCCCTGGGTGCCATTTTACTGCAAGGTGTTGAACAGTTTTGGAACAGTTTAATACCAAAGTTTGGTTCCCAGATGCCGTCCACACTGCCTCACATTTCCTCTTCTGTTGTACAGTGCAGAAATTGTTGTCTCGGGTGTTGGTAATAGACTAAGACCAGCATTGCACTCTGCACTGCAGCATCAGAATAGACCATGTAACTATCTTTCAGGCAGGGAGCGGTTATGGTGCTTGGAATGCTCCTTTAAAAAAAAGCAAATAGATAAGCAGATTTTGAATTTAAAAAAAGTAAATCTTCATAAAAACCCTAGCCACTGCATGATGTACAGGTTAATCACACTGGTGACCTGCTGATTCCATAAACTATGAATGTTGCCTTTTAAAAAGCAAAATAACAACCTTCATTTAATTTTCTTGAAGGTCAAATATTGGAGTAGAAATTTCCAAAGAATTCAAGTTCATAAATGTTGAAGACTGTAAAAGTAAGTACATTCTTTGCAAATCTGATAAGAATTTGTTTTGTCTTAAGAAACTAAATATGACATATGCAAAGCCAAATCAATATCTGTATGCCACTTTGATTCAAAATCAGATGTAATACAATTTGAATCATTGAGTGTTAAAGGACCACTATAGGCATCCAGATCACTTCAGCTTAATGAAGTGGTCTGGGTGCCAGGTCCATCTAGGGTTAACACTGCGTGCTGTAGACATAGCAGTTTCAGAGAAACTGCTATGTTTACATATGGGTTAATCCAGCCACTAGTGACTGTCTCACTGACAGCCACTAGAGGCGCTTCCGATCTTCTCACTGTGATTTTCACAGTGAGAAGACGCTGACGTCCATAGGAAGGCATTGAGAATGCTTTCCTATGGACTGACTGAATGCGCGTGCGGCTCTTGCAGCGCATGTGCATTCAGCCGATGACGTCGGTAGGAAGAGGAGAGTCCATGAGGGTCCATGAGGGTGGGGGGACCTATTAACCTATTAACACTATAGTGCCAGGAAAACAAGTTTGTTTTCCTGGCACTATAGTGGTCCTTTAAACATCTAACTCTCATGTAATGGGAAAATCAGACTTTAAGAGCCAACCACAGGAGAGTTAACGTACAGCTAATTTTCCCTACATCAGATAATTTGTGTTTATAGGGAGATGTTTCTTCACACTGAGGGACACCACTTGCCACCTCTGCCCATACCAACACATTCTGCTTGTTGAAATAGAAATGGTGAATTACATACAGTTGCAAGAAAAAGTATGTGAACCCTTTGGAATGATATGGATTTCTGCACAAATTGGTCATAAAATGTGATCTGATCATCATCTAAGTCACAACAATAGACAATCACAGTCTTCTTAAACTAATAACACACAAAGAATGAAATGTTGCCATGTTTTTATTGAACACACCATGTAAACATTCACAGTGCAGGTGGAAAAAGTATGTGAACCCTTGGATTTAATAACTGGTTGAACCTCCTTTGGCAGCAATAACTTCAACCAAACGTTTCCTGTAGTTGCAGATCAGACGTGCACAACGGTCAGGAGTAATTCTTGACCATTCCTCTTTACAGAACTGTTTCAGTTCAGCAATATTCTTGGATGTCTGGTGTGAATCGCTTTCTTGAGGTCATGCCACAGCATCTCAATCGGGTTGAGGTCAGGACTCTGACTGGGCCACTTCAGAAGGCGTATTTTCTTCTGTTTAAGCCATTCTGTTGTTGATTTACTTCTATGCTTTGGGTCATTGTCCTGTTGCAACACCCATCTTCCACTGAGCTTCAGCTGGTAGACAGATGGCCTTAAGTTCTCCTGCAAAATGTCTTGATAAACTTGGGAATTCATTTTTCCTTAGATGATAGTAATCCGTCCAGGCCCTGACGCAGCAAAGCAGCCCCAAACCATGATGCCCCCACCACCATACTTCACAGTTGGGATGAGGTTTTGATGTTGGTGTGCTGTGCCTTTTTTTCGCCACACATAGTGTTGTGTGTTTCTTGCAAACAACTCAACTTTGGTTTCATCTGTCCACAGAATATTTTGCCAGTACTGCTGTGGAACATCCAGGTGCTCTTGTGCAAACTGTAAACATGCAGCAATGTTTTGTTTGGACAGCAGTGGCTTCCTCTGTGGTATCCTCCCATGAAATCCATTCTTGTTTAGTGTTTTACGTATTGTAGATTCGCTAACAGGGATGTTAGCATTTGCCAGTGACTTTTGTAAGTCTTTAGCTGACACTCTAGGATTCTTCTTCACCTCATTGAGCAGTCTGCGCTGTGCTCTTGAAGTCATCTTTACAGGACGGCCACTCCTAGGGAGAGTAGCAGCAGTGCTGAACTTTCTCCATTTATAGACAATTTGTCTTACCGTGGACTGATGAACAGCAAGGCTTTTGGAGATACTTTTATAACCCTTTCCAGCTTTATGCAAGTCAACAATTCTTAATCGTAGGTCTTCTGAGAGCTCTTTTGTGTGAGGCATCATTCACATCAGGCAATGCTTCTTGTGAAAAGCAAACCCAGAACTGGTGTGTGTTTTTTATAGGGCAGCTGTAACCAACACCTCCAATCTCATCTCATTAATTGGACTCCAATTGGCTGACATCTCACTCCAATTAGCTCTTGGAGATGACATTAGTCTAGGGGTTCACATACTTTTTCCACCTGCACTGTGAATGTTTACATGGTGTGTTCAATAAAAACATGGCAACATTTCATTCTTTGTGTGTTATTAGTTTAAGCAGACTGTGATTGTCTATTGTTGTGACTTAGATGATGATCAGATCACATTTTATGACCAATTTGTGCAGAAATCCATATCATTCCAAAGGGTTCACATACTTTTTCTTGCAACTGTATATAGGTGGATACATTTCATTCAGTGTGTTTCACACACATGCAAACACAACGTTCACTTTTCTCTGGATATCATAATACAGATGTGGGCTAATTCAATCCCCCACCCCAAAAATAAACACTTTATGTCCAGCTAGCAATATCCCTTGTTGTATTTTAACATTTTAATGAAAGTTAAAGTATTAGTTATGGTTCTAAAAGTGTCAGGAACCTTCCTAGAGTTAGTAATTGAACTTTTTGCAGATAAATTAACAACTTACCTGAAACAGCCAGTAGCTCTCTGCACTGAGCTAGTCCGTCAGTGCAGGCCTTAGCTCATTGGCGTGGCTCAGGAGCGTTAATAGACTTTCTGTCCAGTAGCTTTCTTATGTCCTATAAGCTGTGACTAGGACATTGTGGACACCAGCAAAGTTGTCAAACCATTTGCAAATGGTTTGACTACATATCCTGGGAGGACGCCAGTGGTTATGGTATTTGGAGTGTTTCTTAAAGAGTAAATTTTTTAGGATTCAGATTAGCATGTTTTAGAGATATATTTATTGCATCCATGTCATCTTTGCAACAAAACAGGAGCCCCAGCTGCAACATACCTGTGACCCCCATCATTGCATACCTTTTTTTCAGACCTTTTTAACAGATTGTTTTACTAGGCTCATGTAACCTTGGTGCAGAAAATCAGTCCCAAAATTCAAATGAAACCCACCATGGTGTATAATTTGCAAAATTAGGCAGTTAGGGCTATTTCACAATATTTTTGTGAATAAGTTCAAAATACTGTAACACCTTTAAAGGGATACTATAGTGGCAGGAATACAAAGCTCTGTTCCTGGCACTATCACTCCCCCTGCCTCCCCTCCTCCCTCCCATGACCCTCTAGAGTAAATAAAGGGTTAAAAAAATCCTTTATTTACTTACCTGACCCCAGCGCCGATATCTACGTCACTGGGTCTAAGCTCCTCCTCACTCCTGCGACGAGCAGGCTTTAATGCACATGCGCAGCAAATGCTGTGTGCGCATTAGACCTTCCCATTGGAAAGCATTAAATCAATACTTTCCTATGGGGAAAAATCTGACGCTGGAGGTCCTCATGCAGGGTCAGATACCGGGCCAAACGTCCATTTCAAACCAGGAAATACTCTAGTGGCTGTCTGTTAGACAGCCACTAGAGGCTGACTTAGTGCTGCAATGTAAACATTGCAGTTTCTCTGGAACTACAAAGTTTAATATTGCAGCACTAAGGGCCATAGGGACACTGTAAAAAAGACTGAGGATTTAATAGGCTAGAACCAAAACAGATAAATGAGAAGTAAATAATAGGCATTTTATTAAAATGTTACACCACTAAAGGGATACTATAGTGCCATTAATACAAATCTGTATTCCTGGCACTATCGCTCCCCCTGCACCCCCCTCCCCCCACGCGTGTGTTAAAATACACTATTTTTGCACATTCAGTTGTCACTAAAATGGGTGAAGCACGTGAGAATAACTACCTATTTCTATTGCATTATTTTGTTTTTGAAGTGTAAACATATGTTGTTTTGGTTATAACCGCTACATCTTTAATTTTATAATTCTATTGTCATGAAGTTTTGCTATCAAATTAAGGACATGACCTAATTTTGACATGACTCGTCACAGGGGCATTGCAGGAATGGGGGGGGGGGTCTGTCTGATAAGGACTAGAGGTGTTTATGACAAGGACTAAGATGGTTTGTGTATGAGTGTGTGTTTGTTCATATGACTCTATGTTTATCTGACTGGTCTGTTTATGTTTGTCTGTATGTTTGACAGCATGTATCCGAGAATATTTGTGCATATATCTAAGTGTGTGCATATTTGTGTATCTGAGTGTGCGTCTATGTGTTTGTAGCTGAGTGTATTTGTGTGCATCTGTGTGCATCAGAGAGTAGAAATGTATGTCTGGAAATGCGTGTAGCTGTAGGGGGAATCTTTGTGAGTGTCTGGCAGTGTGTATTTGTGTGGTTTTTTTTTTAGAAATGCATGTCTGTGTTTATTTGTATGTGTGCATATGTCTATTGATGTGTGCTACTGGACCTTGCAAAATGGATCTGTATGGAGTCCACCAATATTTCTGATGGCAACCCAGCTACCCAATGACACTATCTGATAAAGTGCACATATTTATATATCACATTGATTGATTTTCTGCTTTTAGAACACAAAAGCATCTCATTGCCAAAATGTGAAACGGGAATGGAATCTCCTATTCCAAGTGGATATTTCTATAAAAATATATGGAATCCAGTTTATTGCAACATGACCAACTATGAAACAGGAGATAACTTTACCAACTGTCTTCAAGGAAAGAAGTTGTTTCTCTTGGGTGATTCCACGCTACGCCAGTTTGTAATGCATTTTAATGACATTAAAAGTATGTTTGATGTGTTACATAGTTTATTTCTTGAATACTTCAATAACAAACACTAGTTTTATTTCCTTCCAGGTGCATTATATATATATTATATAACTAGTGTGTGTGTGTGTGTATATATATATATATATATATATATATATATATATACATACACACACACACACTAGTTATATTTCTTAATTTTTATTTTTTTGGTAGAGCCTTATGCTACAAATGTTTAAAGTATTTTTTATCACATTATTCTCCACTGAATACCCCATAATGACAAATAAAAACCATTTATGAACATTTTAAACATTTATTAAAAAGAAAAAAAACTAATATAAATGTGTAGACTCTTTTCTTTGAGACACATAAAAATGGTGGGTAACTAGGGGCTTGTGGATCTCTAGTCACTGCTAATGGTGGTGTCTTGGGGGGGTAACAATAGGTTCCCTGACATTTTTAATTAGGGCCCCTGCACGCCATCAATGGGTAGGGGCTGTGGAGGCACAATAGGTCCCCCCCCCTTTATTACTTAGGGCCACCACCCGCAGGCACTGGGTGGGTGCTGGGAGGAACTATAGGTTACCACAATATTAATTAATTAACCTATGCATTCATCAGACTGCATGAATGGCTCATTCTTTCAGTGCACCATTTGTTCCTTCTGCACACTCCCATCATATCTGGTAGGAGTAAGCCGAACTAATGAACGAGCACCGAAAGAATGAGCCATTCATGCATTCATCTTTTTGAATAGCAGACAGTGTAAAAGAAAAGACCAAACATGAATTGTACATGAATTAACAAATGAATGGCACATAGAAGAATTTTTTTCAGTGTCCATTAGTTTGTTCTTTCACTCGGCTCCCCATTTGTTATTCAGTATTAGAACGAATGGAAGAAAATGCTGATTTTACATTTGTCCAAATATGAATGCTCAAATCTAATGACAAGTACTGGGAGACTGGTCCCAGTCCCAGGGTTAAGGGAAAACTGAAAAACAGCAAAATGCAAAGATATCCATAATGAAAGTCTGGTTTAGAGCACTAAGGACATCAGACTGGGCCAAAAGGTCACCTTCCAACAGGACAATGACCCTATGGGCCAAAGGGTCACCTTCCAACAGGACAATGACTTTAAGCACACAGCCAAGACAATGCAAGAGAGGTTAAGTGAGCCAGAGCCCAAACTTTAAACCAATCGAACAACTCTGAATAGACCCAAAAATTACTGTTCTCCGATGGTCTTCATCTGACCAGACAAAACTTAAGAGGATTTGCAAAGATTAATGGCAGAAATAAGGCTGTAATCACTGCCAAACTTAGTAGTTAGATAACATACTGAATACTTATTTGAATTTTTTTTTTATGTTTAATATATTTGCGATGATTTTTAAAAATTTTGATTTTATTAAAGACACAGATGTGAGTAATGTGCTTATTCTCTTTCTTTACTTAAATAACAGCAAACAAAAAGATAAATAAAAAAAAACGGAAAACAGGTAAACGTAACATACAATGACATCACAACTGACAATCTAAGCATATTCCATGACTGGTTATAAAAGGTGCCGTGAGCATTCTATAATCCTCTTTCTTTGTAGTAACTTCATAAACCCAGAAACCAAATAGGATGAAATGATAATATAATATTCTTAATAACCATTCTCTGAAGGAGAAACTGTAACAAATCCAACAAAAGTATAATTGAAGAATGTATGGACACCATTGAAGAATCAAACAAATATTATATAAACCAGTGAAATAGATGTAACATATTTAATCAATGTAATAATCAGACTTAGAGTCTTCTAATAAAATCATTTTTTTGCTTGTCATTATGGTGTATTGAGTAAAGATTAATGTGACATATATATATATTTTTAGTATAAGGCTGCAACATTAAAAATATGTTAAAAGGGGGGTCTGAATACTTTATGAGTGCAATTTACTGTCATAGTTATTTATTAAAGTAAGAATTCAAAGTGAAATTTAAGGTTCAAATAACTGAACTGTAAACATTCTCTAAGTCAGCTATGCTTCCATTTCAGTATAGGTACTCTAGCCTTACATTTGAAATTCACTTTGAAATCTCACTTTAGTAAATAAATTGTCAAAGTTAAATTTTTCTCCAGATAAAAATACCAGTAAAAGAATATTAGAAATATATTCACAGAATGCAGAACTGCAAAATTACCTGAATGCATGTTGTTATCACAGCTGACATGCTCCTGTTGCTACAACTTGGGCTACCAGAGGTTCCACAGTTCAACACCCAAAGCATAAACATATAGTAGTGTTGCTCTACTGCAACTTAACCAACAGCTGCTCAACCTAACATGCCTGTGGTTGCTTCTTTGACACAGTGTGCACTGTGTGAAGCTGTACCTACAGGCATGTTAGGTTGAGCAACAGTTGCACAGATAACAATAGAGTCTGGCCCTACATGGCTTCCCAGACAAATAAAAAAAGTGAAATTTGACCAATAGCTCAACTGGAAGTATATCTGATTTGAAGTTTTTTTCTTAATACAGATGAGCTATGTTTGCATCATACTTGAAATTCATGTTGAATTATTCTTGCTATTAGTACTTTGTGATTTTCACCTAATCATTGTCCTTTTTTTGCTTTTAGTAACAAACTATCTTGGTTTTAACCAAAGGAATTGGAACTCTTGGCAGAAGACACTTTTAGCTGTAAACATCGACAAAGATATATATGTATTTTATAAAAGGCATGCCATCCCCCTGGAAAGCTTTCGGTTCTACTATTTCAAAGAAGACAAGTACATAAGTCGTCAAATCGACCAGCTCGGTGGAGGAATGGATACCATAATTGCAATTACGCTGGGACAACACTTCAGACATTTCCCTCTTACTCTGTATATTAGAAGAGTCATTAACATCCGTAGAGCTATTGAGCGTCTTTTCCGTAGAAGTCCAGAAACCAAAGTCATAATTAAATCAGAAAACACTAGAGAGATACATGCTTCTGTTGAAAAAACTGGTGACTTTTATGGGTACACTCAATATCTTGCATTAAGAGAAGTTTTCCAGGGAATGAATGTTGGATTTGTGGATGCCTGGGATATGACAGTGTCATCCGCTACAGAAAATATTCATCCACCAGGATATACACTTCAAGGGATTATGAGCATGACATTCACATTTGCCTGTTAGCCCTTTGAGAAGCAATATTAATCCTTAAAAGGACACTACAGACACCAAAACAACTTTAGTTTAATGATGCAGTTTTTTGTCTATAGATCAAGCCTCTGAAGTCTCACTGCTTCCCATTGGAGTTAAATCACTATTGTTCCAGTCTATACAGCTTTAGTCATATCTTCCCTGGTGGTGACTGGCACAGCCTGCATTAAAAAGGATAAAATTGTAATCAGATGTTAACTAACTTTAGATGTTTTCATCTCCTGCTCTGTAAATTGAGCTTTAATCAAATACAGGAGGCTCCTGCAAGGCCTAGCAATCTATTAACACAGCAGGAGATCATACATTCTAAATAAATGCAATAAAGGAAGTGTAAACATTAGATCTCACCTTACAGGAAGTGTTTAGGAAGGATGTGCAAGTCCCATGCAGGAAGGTGTGATTAGCGCTACATAAACAAAATGATTTAACTCCTAAGTGGAGAATTGTGCAGCGAGACTGCAGGGGCACGATCTATACTAAAATTACTTAATTAAGCTAAATATGCTTTAGTGTCCCTTTAATTTAAATGCACAGTAGGATTAAGGATAATATAGCATAGCATCTGGTATTAAAACTTGCAGAACACTCTGGTGTAAAGCATACATCAAGAAAAAACTATAACTGACTTTCTAGAAATCCAATTAGTCCATATATATTTAGTTAATTAAACAAAGTTATAAAATACTGGGTTATTCATTAAAGTGAATTACAAATTTAAAGCCAAAGCAGCCAAACTGGAATCATAGCAGAGTAATAAAAGTTTTCAGTTCAGCTATTTTAACCTTAAATTTGAAAAATTTATTTCTCAGGACTACTCCAAATCCCTAAACAGCTCCAAACTATGTAAATGACACGCTATAGTCTCTAGACACACACACACTACAGCCTCAATACAAACACAAACTACCCTGTACACACCAACTACAGCCCCTATACTTAAACATACACATTACAGCTCCTGTACACACCTGCTACCGCCCGTAGTCACACCCACATGGACATAACAGTCCCAATACAGATACATGCACACTACAGCTCTCTCTATACAACCGCTTGACAAACATATACACTCTTCAGCTTCTAGACACACACACTTTACATCCAGTGAAAACACATGCGCACTACAGTTCCTAGCCATGCATAGTACAACACAGACTGCTCTATACAA